TCTTTCCCTTTTCCTGTTTGACCAGCACATCTCTCATGGCCTCACTGGTATAATAACCACATTTTTTGGTGCCCTTCCAAAACAACGTGATCTCACCAGAAGGACCACTTGCCTTGTGTCCAGCTCAGCTCTGCCATTTCAAATGTGCTGAAGGTCTCCTGGGCAAGGCTCAATACTAAGATTATAACCTCTTTGATATTTCTGGGATCATCATCTATGAGGCAACAAGATCTTTTTCAAGTTCCTTGATCCCTTTGTGCCAAGGTAACCTTGCCACCTATTTCAACTTTCTTTATATGCTTTTGGGAAACTTTTGGAGCACTTTCTGAGGTGCTCCTGAGAAGAGAAAGTTTGCAGTTGAATCACAGACCAAAGGAACACAGATCTACTTCTGTCACTCACTTCCTCTACACTAATCCGTTGCAACTACAGAAGTGTTTTAAATCAGTAGAGAAACTGAACAGAAAAAAAAAAAGCCAGAACAAATCCCATTGATTGGTGGAACTTTTTGTATCTCATCTACTGGCAACAATGAGGCTGCACCTGTACACCCTTGCTCAGTTTGGTGGCCCCTCACCTCCAAATTCAAGAGACATGTGAAGAAGGGAATGAGGGTCCATCACAAAGCTATAAAGGTGGCCGGAGCACACGTGGGCTGAGGCTGAGGGAGCTAGCTTTGTTGAATCCCATGAAGAGGCAGTCAAGGAGGTATCTAGGAACAGCCCACAACTACTTGAAAGGCTGTTAGAGAGATGATAGAGCCAAACTCTTCTCTGCAGTGGCAGGTGAGACAGCAATGGCTGCAGATTGAAGCATCTGGAGATCTGGAGAAAGATCCTCGCTGGGAGGTGGTGCAACTCTGACACAGGCTGCCCTGGGGTGCTGGAGCCATCTCTGTTAGGGGCTTTAGAGACATGGCCACAGCTGACCTGACCCACTGGTGTTGGTGAGAGCCTTGCTTTGAGTAGGAGGCTGGACTAGATGATTTTGAGAACTCACTTCCAACCAACTTTGATATGATTCTCTGATCCTGAAAATAAGAGGGCAATAATCTATAGATGTAGTTAACACTGTAATAGAATAGCAAAATCTTCTCAGAAGACTTGAATAATGGCTCAATTAGCTTGGCATGTAAATGTTCAGTGATGTTCAAACTGGAAGGAGACAATGGCAAACCATCCTTATCATACTTGCAGGAGCACATTTATCATCTGTTACCATGAACGTTTTCATACCTGCTTATAAATCTTTTTTATTAAGTTTTAGCTGATTAGAAGTCATTGCACATCCTGCTCTTTCATTACGGAGTTTCATATTCATTCCTCATTTTCTTTTAATCTGTTGTATTTGTAAGGGAAATTTATCTATTCTATTTTGAAATACAGAGATTTCATTCCCCAATTTTGTTTTGGTAGCTGATCAACTTCCAGAACTCATTATTAAATTATCATGCTGCTCCAAATTATCAGATGTATTACTATGCTGCTTTTAACTTCTTAAATAATTTTATGTTTCATGACATAGTTAATAACAATTTTTCATAATGCTTAAATACTGGTAGATTATTCTCAATTTCCAGTATTTTTTGTTATTCTTAATTAGCAGCTTTTTCAACAAGACTCATAATTTCTTAACTCAATAGAATAGATGGCATAATTGTGTCAGGGATATTCATTTTTATATTCTAATATTTGCACTGTATACATCCATTGACTTTCCACTTCAAAATGGGACACCTTAACACACCTATAAAATAAGGGGAAGGTAGTGTGGTTGGAAAGGCCTTCTGATGGCTGGTGTTTTTTTTATAAATCAAGGCATTGCCTTGGCTTTTCTGAAGTTATTTTATACAGAAAGTATCTTCAGTTTACAAGGCTTGCTATTTGTTTGGTACCATTTAGCAGGAAGAACTCTCTTTTTTTTAGGTTATACTGGCTAATAGGTTTCTGCTGTGCATATTTAGCCTATATTTAGCATTTTAGTTATAGTTTAGCCTTTTAAAGCCTGTAAGTCTTTCTCTCCTGTCACAGCTTCTTCCAGTACGTGACCTCACTTGAAAATTATATCTTTTGTACTTATTTTTGTTTTGTGATGTATCAATACTATATGATGGAATAATAACAATAATTCCTCTCTCTTATGGGGAAGATATTTGTGTTAAAATATATAATTCACAAGCTGAACCAAAGCCATGCGCAAGTCATGTAGGTAGAAATGGGATGTTATAACTGTCTTTTATAGAATTGCATAATCTTTTCAGGATATCAGACAATAGATAAATAGATGCTCTTATATTTACATGAAGTTTGTAGGGATTAGAGTCAATTTCCCTGCTTTCAAATTGTTCAGTCAAAAGTTAGGTGATAATTTGTAGCCTTTCGGTTTTACAGTTGACTTAGCTCACTATTTCATA